TTTTTTACTTTAAGTACAGCTTATCTAAATAGTAAATAGACATCAGTGTCACTACCATCAGTTTGAAGTCCTAATACAGTTACAATGCAATGACTGAGCCACATGATTTTTATGCAAATCAATGCTGGTTCCGTGCATCACTGAAAAGAAGCCAAATCTATTTTCTTCCATTTGGGTTTGAAGAAGTAAATTTTGCAGCATCACTTTGACTCTGTTACAGGTATAGATTACCGGTAGCGGTAAAGGCCACCCGTAGCCCATTCATTTGCATCCAGTTTACTAGAAACGTGGCTGCATAATTTATCACGAGAGAAGAGTGCTAGTCTTTTCTGAACTTCATGTTTCCTCTTTATGTTTGAGTCATTTATGGCTGCTAATATATTTATAGTGGCTTCTAGAGTAATATTGCTGCTGAATTGTTCTGTAAAATATTAGTTTATATCTTGACCTTATTTTAACCTTATTAGGAAATGCAAAGGTGTCCCCTAAATTGTTCCCATTTTCTTGCATAGCAGCTACTAATCTCAGTGTATTTCTATTGGATTATATGTGATAAAGTGAGATGAAGTTGCATATAATTGTGAAGTGAATTTGAAAAGTGCAGAATGAATGAAAATTATTGTACTGTAGGAGCCTAAATAAAACCATTAGTTACCTTTGATGAGTCTACAGACCTTGGGTTTAAATGAACACATTTATACTGTTTTAAGTGTCTCAGAGTTTTATTAGAGAACAAACAGTCCTATGAAGGCAGAGGAGCACAGCAGACAGATCAGGGAGAGAGACGTCTCATAAAGCTCTGCTTAATCTTTCAAAATGACAAGCATGTCACTCTTTATCTAACAGTGTAACATCTTCACTCGATGTCATGCAGATCAAGGAGAAGCAGCCAAGCTCTGTGGATCTTTGAAATGAAGCAACTGTCTGTCTCTTTGGTATAAACAGGACTCGACACAGAGGCAAAACTATCTATGGCAAACTTCAAAATGGGAATGAATGGAAAACATGGCAGTCAGTTACAGCAGATGTTAGTTTATCTTCATGTGGCCATAGAAAAAGTCCCTGCTTACATCCTTGGTCAGAAACTGGGAAGAGGATGGATGAGGACCTAAGTTAATCTTACCATATATGGGCAGTTCTAGGCAGGACCCTGTACCGGACCCTGTACCACATACAATACAAAAAATGGAATAAAAGCAAGTCACTTTTTACTTGGACTGTTTTTCCCTTAATTTTAAGCAAGTACGTTAAACAATTTGTCAAATCTGATGAGATTTACACTAAAAATAAGGAATAAAAAATTCAGTCGACTTACTGCAAGGGCATAATATTCAATTATCCTATTTTTAAGAGCAGCAATACTAATTATTTATGTAGATCATCATAATGACCTGCTCAAACTGGGGGTAAAACACTTATTTTAAGATTTGTTTGATCTTTTTCTGTGGTTTTGTATTGTAATAATAGTTTTTTTTGTGTGTGGTGACAGAAGAAACACACCGATTCAAATCTTGGACCAATTTTAACCTTTCCTCTTTACAATTTAGTTACAGTTGTTTAGAAATTGCCATAAACTCTAAGGTTTGGTCGTACAGGATCAGTTTTAATGTTAGAGTATGCATCCTTGGCTTTGTTGCTCACTATATATATACACTAAATGATGCACTCTTACCCTGTTTGTTCTGTGAATCTTTTCTTGTCCCCATGAATAAAACTGGCCCCAGCCTGGCCCCCCTTGTAAATTTCATCTAGACCAGGCATCCCCAAAGTCGGTCCTCAAGGCCCGCTGTCCTGCAGGTTTTAGAGGTTTCCCTGCTTTAGCACAGCTGATTATGATTGCAGTAGAGCAAAAGCCTGTTAATCAGCTTTCAATTAAAATCAGCTGTGCTGGAGCAAGGAAACCTCTAAAACCTGCAGGAAAGGGGGCCTTGAGGACCGACTTTGGGGATGCCTGGTCTAGACCCACCACTGTTACCAAAACCCACAAATGAGCAGTCAGGCAATTGTTTTTATTGTTATTGGGGAATAATAGTGATAAAGAAAATGATTTATTTAGAGAATAAAGTTGTGTTTGTAAAGTCCAGTTGATCTAAGGAACTGAATAAAAGGATAATTTAACCAGTTAAGCCAGAGCTACAATGGAATATGGCCTAGTCAAAGTATGGGCCTTGATGCAATTAAAGAATTTGAGGGAAACCATAGAAAATGACATCTAGATAATCCATCCAGCCAAAGTGGAAGTTTGAGCCTTTTTTTTCAAAGAATGGGAAGAAAACTGAACATGTTGGTGTGAATAACAGCTGTAAAAGAAAAAAACCTCTGGCTATGATAACGACAGTAAACACAAAGGCATTCCAAACTTTTATTTACAAAATATGTTTAAACACCAACTTCCAGCCATGCACAGCATTGCGTTAGTTCATAATCACATAAAATACAACAAAGGTTGTAGTAAGAAATGTTAGGGCATGGGGTGTGAAAATATACGGTAGATGGTCTTAGTTAAAGCTTGGAGACATATAATGATTTATACTGTATAACCATTTTACACTCTTTTCATCTGAATCTATTCAGATATAAAAAGTTGATTGTCCTCAGACTACAGGTTCTTTATTGTTAATTTTTATGATTATCAACAGTGCATCAACAATAAGACAGGCTGGTAATCACAGAAGCAGATTACAAGAAAACAGAAACGTATAATTAAAGGATTACGCAGGTAACGAGTTCAGGAAGCCCAAATATGGGCGTTCCGACAGACGCACAATCAAAAAGGAGGGAAATGCATCTAAACACCAACAGAATGTCTTCCTCCTCACTGTTAAGAGGAACAGGCAGAGTAGAACGATCAAATGTCACGACCCGCCATGACGGCCGTGGTTCTTCCTTTAAAACAGAACCTGATGTGTTAGTCTGAAGGGCCCATTCCACCTGCGCTGCATGTCCCTAATGTCAACTTCCCTTCATAAGTGGAAAGACTCAGACGTGACAGCAATGAGGTTCTGCACTTAGAATCAACATATTTATTTTTAATAAAACAGAATGAAAAAAAACATGCATGAATTTTATTACTATAAAAGAAAAATAGAAAACTAGAAAGGTTTTCAGACAACACTATTTCAGACTACAAAGAAATGTTTTTAACAAATAAAAACCTTTTCACTCTTGTGGCATTTTCACAGCTGTCATATTTATTCTAGATTTAAGTGCTTTTCTATGGGATTTAGAACACAAAGACAGATAAAAAGGAAGAATTTCTCCTATGTTTTGGGGTTGCAAATCAACACAAAGTTCTCACAGCAGCAGCTCAGTCTCACTTTAACTGTTCTCCAGCTGGATATTCCAGATTTGGTAGCATAGCAGAATAAAGAAGGTGCAAACTTCTAAAAATAATAAAATATAAAATCAAGAAGGTGTTCATCTCAGGTAATCAAGGTAACCTTCAAAGGCACAAATGCATGAAAAAAGAATAAAAATCTACAGATGCGCTCAGCTGCAACAGGGGGAATATATAATGGCCTAGCAAGCATCATTTCCCTCAATACAAATTCTGGTGTTTGAGACTCAGCCCAGAGGTCATCAACTGTAGGAGCACGGTCTAGATCCGGTAGACATGAAGATTATAAAAGAGCGGCGCTGTGGCTAAACAGCTAAGCACCAGATATAATTAGTCCCCTAAACTAACAGCTGGGGGAAGCTCTTCTGGCAGCCTCACGGGAAGCAGAGTCAATAAATGGACCCGACAGTCTGAAGCTGTGACTCCATATTAGCTCAGAGACGCCTTAAACAACTGTCACTCTAAATGATAAATATGAGGCACGAGGAGAAAACCGTGGTTTACCATCAGCTACTAATGCTAAAGTTGGCATCAATGGTGAACAACAGCTTCAGATCTGCTCTCATGTGATTGATAGAAGCCATTATCCACCTGCATCAGCGGCTGCAGCTGGATGATGGCTTCAATCTGTCCAGAACCCAGCATCAGGACCGGCAAATACTGTTTAAAAAAAAATTAAAACTCCACCAAAACCCCATCCAGTCCCTGATTTGTCAACTTAACACAAGTCGACAGAAAAGTTCAGGTTGTTTAAACTCCAGCAAAGTATTGCTTTGCTCTCTTTGCATGGCTTTAAACGCATCCTTTGTTAATCTGCACAGTTGAGACATCTTAACATCTTAACAATCACTCCATTCATACTCAGCGTGATCATAGCCTAATCGATCTTAAGAAGATAGATAGCGATGAAGATCTTCACACCTATTATTCCTAAACCTTTAAAAAAATCTAGATTCTGGTGTTTTTTAGTCAAGTCATCATTTCAATATATTTCCAGCACCTGTCATTGGACTGCCTTTGTCTTTCCTCTCAAGCAGAACCGATTACTGTTAGAAACGACGTCTGATAGGAAGGTGCATTAATGAGAGAATACAGTTGAATGGTTAATATAGGAAAATGCATTAAATAAATTGTCTACCTAAGTAAAGCCAAACTGAGTGAGACTTATGGCACTGATTGACCTCTAACCTCTACAGACAACAAACACATACATCCGCCACAACTATCCTAAATAAGGTGCACAGTTAAAATGCATGAAAAGGACTTGATACCCTTTACAGCAGGGCCACATTTCATGAAATTAAAGATAAAGTGGTAAGTTTTATTAGTCTACATTAAAGGAGATTCGCGGTGCCACTATAATTAAAGCTAAAGGTGTTCTGAGTCTAACTCTACATTATTCTAATGAGCAACTACAGCTATTGGAATGTATAAAAAAGTGCAAAAGCGGAGCTCATTATGCATTTTAATGCTAGTATCCTCAGCCCGGAAAAAGCTGTGATTAGGGCTTTATATGTCTAGTTAGTTTTAACAGTCTAAAGTATTTTCAACACTTTTAGCAATCAGCCAGACATTACTGAGGCAAAGGGATGAAATGCAATTGCAACTGATGGACTCGTTCCCTTTTTCTGACTGAAATGAGTATTTTCCTCTTGATCAAACAATGAGTGTTTTGTTTTATTTTCTTTAGCCTCGGTATCCCTCTGCACGGTCCTCAGGGGCCAACTCCAGCACTACGGGATGGCTCTCATAGGGAGAGACGTTCTCCTGGTCGGATTCTGGGTCGTCACCTTCGTTGAACTTGTCACACATGTATGGGTCCTGCTCACCGGTCGCCTGGCCTCCCTCCAGCTCTTCGTTGTCAGTTGACAACTTCAAGTGTTCATCATCCTCTTTAGATGCATCTTGTGACGGACTGACGCTTTCCTCTTCGCGCTCTTCAGTGCTCTTCGGCGAAACGACGGGGAAAGCCTCCGTAGGACTGACCTGGTCATTAAGAGGCTGGAAGAAAGGTGGCTGCCGCTTTTGAATCCCAAACTGCTTTCAGACACAGAAAAAATACAAAGTTAGTGTTAAACCAGAAAAAAACATCTGTTGGTGGATGAATCCACTTTGAACAATTAAACATACGAATAGAGGGAGTATATCACTAGATGGCGACGTCTTCTTCCGGTAAACCATGAAGGCGATTAAAGCAGCTGCCAACACCACCAAGATACCAACAAAGGTCCCGACATAGACGCCGGTTTGATCTAAACAAACAACGAAAAGATATACAGAAAGTTACAGCCAGCTACACGTCACTAATTCACAGTAAAACCCCAAACATCACAAATATTTGGAAATATTCACAGCCCTTTTTGTCCCTTAGAATATACAAACTTCCAATAATTTTATCTTTTATTAAATTTTCCAGATGAATATACAAAAATTAACAAAAGAACAAATCCCCACCCTTCCCTTGCCCTCCCAGAACAGCACATCATAGAACACTTTCACAGTCAAAACAACATGATGAAAACACCATACATTGATCCAAAACATTCCACAAGCATGAAAAAAAAGGAAAGTTATACAGAGAATTAAGTAGTGATGAGTCAGTCGTAATCACTTTTTCATTGAAGGAATTTTAGTACAGGGTCCCATACTTTCTCAAACATATCACCCTTATCTCCGTTATAGTGTCTCAGTCTTTCCAGATGCAGAGTATTTGCTAGTTCTCCCAACCACAAATCAAATGTGGGCACAGAGTCTTTCTTCCAAAATCTCTAAATCAATCTTTTAGCAATCACCGTACCAAACAAGACAGCCATTTTCTCACTTTTAGTGGCTGGTTGCAAAGCACTGGAGACCCCGATGACGGCAATAAGAGGATCTGGATCCCATCTTTTTCCAAAAGTTGCTGAAAAAAAAATGAAAATTTTTCTACCAGAATGAGTGCAGCTGAACACATGACCAGAAGGAGTGCGTCAGGTTACCAATAGCAACCCGACAACGATTACAAATTGGAGACACACTAGGAAAGAACGTGCTTAGTTTCTCGATCGAATAATGGAGCCTATGTATAGTTTTGAACTGTATGAGATTATGTCTGACATTGATTGAACAATATTGAATACTTTTCAAACCCTCCTCCCACAGATCTTCAGATAACTGTTGCCCCAACTCATCCTCCCATGCCTTTTTAATCCTGGCCGTGTCTACACATATATTGTTAAAGATCTTATAAAAGTGAGACACTGCCCCCCGACTGACAGGATCAAATTTATTTATTTCCTCTAGGGTTTCATGTTTTGTTAAAGTTCCAAAATCCGATAAATTTTTCCTAACATAGTCCCGTACCTGCAGATAACGGAAAAAACTCAACGGGGGAAGATTATACTCAGAACGTAACTGTGAACTTCCAATATTTTACTGATTTTATGTGACCAACATAAATAATTCACAAAGAATGCCATAACAGAGAAAATAAGAGGTTACGTGGCTTTTAAAAGTCCCTTATTCAGATAAAACAGACTGCAAGCATATTTTTTTCAGATATAACTCAGAGAATCAAATGTTAGATTACAACATTAAACTTAATTTAATTTAATCCAACTTTATCTATATCGCACTTTAAAGAACCAATAGGACCAAAGTGCTGCACAAAAGCAGAAATACAAAAACCAAAAGATGCTCTAAGATTAATAAAAACAATATCAAATAAATAACTAAAACAATATAGAAAATAAAAGAAACATAACATAAAATCAACCACAATCCCTTTGAGTGTTTAACACCAAAAGGATGTTGAAAATATGAGACATCAGGGCATCAGAGTGAAAAGGGTTCAAAAACAGAAATGTATATCTCCTTATTTGGTATGGCTGATGGATCACCTCAAACACAGATAAAATGCTTCATAAAAAGCAATGATGGATGTTTTGATGAATTAAAAACATCTTCTCAAATCTTTGCTTTAACCTTTTGTCAATAGCATTTTTGGACTATTTCTCTTTTTTTAGTGGTTGAATAAAAGCGTGCGTGTTTTAAGCTCCATCAGATATGCTGGAGACGCAAGACATCAAAATCTGCCAGAAACAAACAAGGATAAGAACAGATGGAAAAGGACTTGATTGTTCCTGATAGCAAAGCCTCCAGGTTTAAGATAAAGGAAGAGGAAGCTGCACCATCTGGTGGCAGAAAGATAAAGCTTTATAAAGTTGCCATTGGATTCCTGAGGAGGCAGATAAAGCCTAACCTCCATCTGAGTTGTAATTCTCACAATGAATCCATCTTGAAAAACTTGTGCTAATACGTCCGTCTCCAACGAGTCGGACCAATGACAAGCCAGCTGTGTTTTTTGGGGTGGGACATGTAGGAATGCAAACATGGCTACGCTGGAGGACTCACCTGCCGATACCACAATGGACTCAGTTTTAGCTAAAATAGCAAAAATGTCTCATTTTAAAAAGGAGCAAAGAGAAGAAATTAAATGGGAAAGACGTTTGTGTGTGCATGTCCGTTGTTGGCTCTCATGGACCACCAAGTTGCCGAAGCCATTAAGCCTGAAACATGGCGTTTCGCTGCTACGATTGTCTGACACTCAACTCATCTCAGTTCTACACATACCAGTCTGGCTACTGCGAGGTTAGGTAAAGCCCATAAAACAAGTCCTGAAAGATAAAATCTTAGCTGCCTGATAAAAATCTCCAAAGGAATAGATTCCTGAGGAAGGATGAGATTAATCAGGAATGCTTCCAGATGCTGGTGTCTAACCATGAAACATGTTTGCAGCTGCCGCTAAAGACTAAGGATGTGAGCCATGAAGGAAACTAATAACTTTAAGGCCCAAGGAGGCTTTAAAAATGCCCCTATGTGGTATTGTGATACATTTAAATTATTCTTCCTCAACATAAAATAGTTGAAACAAATGAGAATTTACTCAACTGTTAGAAGGTGGTTGTTTTGTGATGCAGTAGTCCTCTGTGGACACCACAGACATTTTACGAAGCTTTCCCTCGATTGTCAGACAATGTTCGTCCTGTGCAGCATCCACCGACAGATTTTCCTCACACATCTCCTCCTCGCAGTCAAAGTTGTGTTGTTTATTCTGCTAAAACAAAAACAAGCCTCATTAATGGATGTAAAATAGAACATTAAAAGCAGAGCATGTCTAATATTTTTTGATCAAATACTCCTGAATGGAGTAAACTCAATAATTTCTTAATGTGTGATGTTAAGTTGAGCTGTCTGACCTGGCCGACCATCTGGACATTATATGAAAAAACCGGGACATGTATATATGCAGTCCGTTTGGAGTGGCTTTTCTTTTTCTTTTTCTTCTTTTCATTTTCGTTATTACATCTGGACACCCCTTCCCCGTACAACAACCAAGGGTGTCTGAACTGGAGGTGGATCTTGGTATTCGATAGGTAGGTGATATTAACGGGCGGAAGGTCCAGAAGGCCTAAGAAACAGCAAAGATCATTGCACACACCGAGCCAGAGAAAGCATTCAACTGTAAATCCAGCAGTGGTTTGGTTAGATTTAGTTGAACATGCTGCTTACATTTATTTTGGGCAAGCAGAGAACCATAGAAATAGCTGAATATGAGTCCCTCCTGTGGGGAAACATCAGACTCATTCTGTCCCAACACAGCTTTCACTTGAAGCATATATGTATTATCTGGATCTGAGAGAAACGAAACATCCGCTTGAAGATCAGGGTAGTCTACCCACAGTTCATCTTTGCAACTGGTGGAAGAGAAAAGAGAAGACAGATGAACAATTAGAGCACCAATTTACATTTTACAAATTTAAACCAAGCTATATCTAGGTGTTAGTTAACGTACACACTTATTTTATCATTTCAAACTTTTTCCACCCACACATACTTTCAAACCTGCAGACAAACTGTTCTAATGAGGGACCTAAAGGTATTGAGGATTTTCTAAAAGACTTGCCCTCTCCATGCACGAGAACCATTTCTCCTCTTGCATGCCCTGTTTAGCATGTGCTTTTCTCATAGCTCATACAAGCTTACTGTGTCCACATACAGCGGGGACTATATAGTGGACTTTATAGTGAACTCGGTTAACTGACCGTTCGGACAGATGATCACTGTTTTTTTGCTGCGTTGGTCACGTAACTCCTCCTCCGCTGCGCAATGCCTGCGTCATCTTTGTTATTAGTTGCAACAGCGGGCCGCTGTTACAGCAAATCCACTAGCGCTTTGCGAGGAGGGCTCTCCAGGCAAAGCATTCTGGGATATATCTACCTCCTCTGAGGACTTTTTCTTCTCATACACTTCATGGACACTTTTTCTCTTATTACCCTCGGCTATTTTCAAAGAACCTCGCTGAGAAAGGTGAGCTTCAATGACGGCCTGAAACCGAAAGCTCACCACACATATATACGCCTGAAAGTGCGCATGAGCAGAAAAAGAAAGCTAACAGGGCGAGCACAAAGGAGGGCCTTATGTAAACATATCACCAGAACAATTGACAGTTAGGAGGACCAATTATTTAGATGATCCACCCGAAAATAAAAGATTGTCCTCTATAGCTTTAATGTGACAAATAAAATGTATGTACAGTAAAACATTAAGTATTTTATTACTAAAACTCATTATTAAAAATGTCAAATACAAACATATGCAGGAGAATAAAACAGGAATAGATTAAAATGAAAAAATACATAAATACCCTTTGAGGGGGTTGTCGGATGTAATATTGACCCTGAATCTCAGTCCCTGGTCAGGGGGCTGGTCATAGTCCCACTTCAGTATGTTCTTCTGGTTGCGGCAGGTAAGGGTGACGTTGGTGGGAGGCGCCACTGAGGAAAAACAAACCTACAGGTAAAATCTAAGATTGCAGCTCATCATTACAACAGATTCAAACATTTGTAACAGGTTAACTACACACAATTTGATATACTGCAAAGTAAGTAATTATTTTCTGTTAATTCTGATGATTCTGGCTTCCAGCTAATTGCTTCTCAGATTTAGAGAGTAGTAAAAAAAATTAAACACAAATATTAGTGAGACAGGGTGTGTAAAAGCAAAATTAGCTGATTTAAAAACTCAAACTAGAACAGCCTGTGGGTAAAAAAAAATCTATATGGGTTTTCTAAATTAAACCACAGGAACAATATAACTGTTAAGGTGATATTCTAATATAGTGAGGCATCACTGAGATGGGGACATGTTTAATTAAAGTAGTTCACCACCAGGGGACACTGTTGAATGGCTCCCTCTAAAGGTCTAGATGTAAAAAAACAAAAACAAAAAAACCCAAAAAACAATGGTATTTATAATAGTGAAACTTGCAAATTACCTGGAATTATTGCACATAGACATATCTTAAACCTTTATTCCTTGTAATATTGATATTATGGCTTTGAAATAATTAAAGACCAAAACTCAATGTGTCAGAAAATGCAAATATTTTTGAAAAAGTTAAATATAAGAAACACATGACTTCATGACCTGATTTAAAGGATGTAGTGCGGAATATGGAGGACCAACTCTGTCATATCTAAAAATAAATACAGATATTAAATAAATGCTCAATAAATAAATAAGCATACAATTAATTGCCCCCAAAATACAATAAACAAATAAATTTGTAGGTATAAATTAAATTATACAGTTAGACATAAATGTATATCTCTTTTAATTAGCTTCTGTATTTATTCGCCTTTTTATTAATTACCTTATTTATTTATTGTCCGTTCTAATC